AGATGTTTTGATTATTATTATACACATTATACACCAAAGCGTTTTCTCATTATTATATTTATGTTTATATGCATATATAATTAAGATCACATAATGTTTGTTTGTCATGTTTTACAGCATTCTACGCATTTTCGGTCCGAGCCTGATGCAGAGCAGTTCTGCCGAGACGAGGGGTCCCTGCTGCAGTTTCATCAGAAAAGAAAATTACTCATTACAGTTCACTTGGAGGACCACACAAGTCTTGCAGTGGTGCATGGAGGTATGTTGGGAGCATTTCTCTAGATACTGATTGATTTTTGTGGTTTAAAATCATAAATATGTTTGAATGTAGAATCTACCAGTGTAAGTACCAAACTAAATCTTTAAAAAAAATTATGTGCACCCCTGGCTATATCGCCCCATATTTCTCTTCTCGGGTAAAGCGACCTTCTTCCCTCATACAGTAAGACAGCAGCAGAGGAGGGAGAGACTTGAGCACAGAACGCAGAATGATGGTTGCCCTTACAGTTTGTGTGAATGTTAATAAGTGAAAGGTGTCGAGTTTCCCAAAGAAGCATGTGTTCTTATTTTTATTTAAGAACCCAAGAAAATAACTCAGTTTGATTTGCACAGCACTATAATCACCCTTGTTAGTTATCTATGGGGTCAAAAAAAAAATCCACTCATGCTATTTTTCTACAATACAGACATATAGAATCTGGCGAACCAGGATTAAATCACCTGCAAGAGGATGGGCAATCATTTTTCCATTCAGGAAGGCAAGGCAAGTTTATTTATTATATAGCACATTTCATACACAATGGTAATTCAAAGTGATTTACAGAAAAGGAATTAAAATAATCATAAAAATAATCACAACAATAAAAGCAAGGAATCACATTTTTAAATGATTTAAAAATTGATTTAAAATGAATGAAAACAGTTAAGAATAGAAGATAATGATACATAAAATACAGTGCAATCAGCTCAGACGTAGCACAGTGCTCATTCAGTAAAAGCACAACTAAACAGATGTGTTTTGAGTCTGGATTTAAATATGGCTAATGAACCCTTGGTAAGAGGTGGGCATTGGCACCAGCAGAGAGGTCAGAGAGGTGGGCATGGGCATCAACAGAGATGTGAGAGAGGTGGGCATGGGCCCTAACAGAGAGGTCGGAGAGGTGGACATGGGCCCCAACAGAGAGGTCAGAGAGGTGGGCAGGGGCCCTAACAGAAAGGTCTGAGAGGTCAGAGAGGTGGACATGGGCAACAAATGAGAGGTCAGAGAGGTGGGCATGGGCCCCAACAGAGAGGTCAGAGATGTGAGAGAGGTGTGCATGGGCCCTAACAGAGAGATCAGAGAGGTCAGAGATGTGGGCATGGGCCCTAACAGAGAGGTGAGAGAAGTGAGAGAGGTGGGCATGGGCCACAACAGCGAGGTCAGAGAGGTGAGAGAGGTGGGCATGGGCCCCAACAGAGAGGTCAGAGAGGTGAGAGAGGTGGGCATGGGCCCCAACAGAGAGGTCAGAGAGGTGAGAGAGGTGGGCATGGGCCCCAACAGAGAGGTGAGAGAGGTGAGCATGGGCCCTAACAGAGAGGTCAGATAGTCAAGTCAAGTCAAGTCAAGTCTGCTTTATTGTCAATTCTTCCACATGTACAGCACATACACACAGAGAATTGAAATTGCGTTACTCTCAGACCCTTTGTGCATACAGATAAGACTAACAAGTAGAACATAAATACAGATATACAGATTAAATATAAAATACAACTATACAAATA